CTTACTTCAGCAATGGTTTAAAAAGAGGGCCAGATTGAATAACAAACAAAAAAATCAAAGAGAAACTTCAGTTCTTTTCAGTCCCCCTCGCAGCCACCTGCCTCCAACCTAGGATTATACAAAAAAGTGAGAAAGCATAGATACTGGAAGGGGTGTCTTGCCAAATAAATCAGTAAGAGAATAGGTAAGCAGACCTGAAACTTTCCTAAAGAAGAACTGAAGAAAGAATCCTAAGGTAGAACCCATCACCTTGACTAGAGCTCCAAAGGAGACAGAAGATGTAATACTCTACTATCCAGTAGTGAAGGAAGGGGCAGAGTCTGGTCCTGGCACTCATTCAATTTAGGAAGTAAAGCTCAAAAAATAATTAAAAATAAGAAACCGTTATTGATAAAGAAATGTTATAGGCCAGAGATGTTCCAGAAACAAGTCCATAAGAAGAGAATAACTCCACATTATCTATAAGCAAATATTGAATAAAAATCACAGATTTGCCACACAGTCTACTGGAATTTCTGGAATAAACATAGTACGCTTAAAATAATCAAATAATAAAATGAAAGCTAATGAGGAAAGAATGGGAAAGGAAATGAGAGCTCAGGTGGAAATAATTAGAGCTTAATTCAGGAGCTATAAAACTTTATTCAAGTAACAGATTCCTTGAAAATTAGATTGCAACAGAGTTCAATGATTCCATGAGACAGTGAAATATATCAAAACAAAATAGAAAGACTAAATAAACCCTCATAAAATGTGAAGTATTATCTAGCAAGAACAAATATCAAATAAATATATCTATGAATCATCAGACTACCTGCTAAGCCCACCAGAAAGAGTCTATCAAGAATATCACATTTCACAAATTTATAAGTGAAAACTGGTCAGACCAACCAGAACAAGAGAACAAAGTAAATATACAAAGAATGCACTAGTTACTTCCTGAAAGGAATCTCAAAATGAAAAATCTCAGGAATGTCATGGACAAAATCCAGAACTTCTAGATCAAGAAAAAAAAAGTTAACATTGTAATTAGCCAGAATGAAAGAGCTGAAGTACCATGGAGTAGCAGTGAGGATTGTGCCAGACCTGGAAGTTGCCACCATAAAGCAAAACTTGAAATAACAACAGATATAAGCTTATAACTAACAATAACACCAAGAAAAGTTGAGCACATATAATCTTTTAGAGGGGGAAAATGGATCTTAAGTGAAATAGAGGACCTCTGAATATTCTTGATGAAGAGATCAGAGTGAGGTAGATACTCTGAAATGGAAACGCAAGAGTCAAAAGAAACAAAGTTAAATACATTCAAAGAAGACTCAGAGAAACATCTCTAGCCTATAACATTTCTTTATCAGCAACAAGACTCAGAAGTTTTCCTATTCTAATGAGGAGAGGGAAAAAAGTGTCCCTTCAGAATCTCACTGCCTTCAATGGCCATAGAGGGAGAAAAAAAAAAAGAACTTTTGTACTAAATTTTGATGACCCTAACAGGAAAAATGAATACACTAAGAAAGAAAGAGAGAAAAGGAAGGTAGAATGTATTACTTCTTATAAAGGGGATATTTGAGAAAAAGACTATACAAATATGGAGAGAAGTGTGGTATGCATAAACTTTACTTTCTTTTGAACTGGAAAAGGAGAATTGAGTGTGTGCACACAATGAAGAAGAATTTGGTATAGAAATACATTAAAGTCAACAAAGATTTGGATAGGGAGAGAGGTATCAAGAGGGAGGGCTTAGGGAGAGATTTATTATGAGCAAAATAAACTATCTTCAGAGGGCAGAATGTAAAGGAAGAGAATAAAAAGAAAGAATGGTTAATTTATTTTAATATAAAATATTGTTGCGCAGTGGCTAAAACTTCGGCACTGAACCACACTGTCAAAGAGGAAAGGTAACAATACACTGCGTTATCTTGCTACTATTTACTTTTTTTAAATCAATGCATTGCCTTAATGGAGTAGAACTGCTAGTGATAGTATTGTTTTTAGAAATAAATGAAGAGTATTTATTAGAAAAAAATGTAAGTACATAGGATTTAAAGTGGATGCCATTTGCATTTTTAAATCATTGACTTGTTAAAACACATATGCTGTGTAATAAAATAAAATTTTAAAAGAAAAAAAAATTGTGACTGAGGCCTAGATGGGAGAAGAGACTAGAAGTAGTGGAATAGAAGTACAAAGCATAAAATGTAAATCACCAGTGTTGAACATATCTCTTCCAAATGCTCACTTCATTGAAGAAAGGGCTGATGAAGAGGATGAGAGGGTGAAATAAGGAGAAAGTATAGAAGAACAAGAGAAAAGAAAATGAACAATAAACAATTATAACTATGTGAATGAGACAAATTTACTCACACAATAGAATAAGGTAGTAAAGTGGATTATAAAGCAGAATCCCCAAATACTGGATATATCTAAAAATACTGTGTTTAAAAGAAAAACACTTAGAACAAAAGTATTGCTGCAATATTAATATGAGTCAAAAAAATGTATTATGCTTCTAGTATACTCAAAAGTCAATGGTAGCAAGTATGATCTTAGACAAGGCAATAATAAAAATAGAGTTGATTAAAAGAAATAAATAGGGAAACCACATTATATTTAAAAGTACCATAGATAATGAATTACTCAATACATGTGCATAAAATAGCATAGCATTGAAAATATTTCAAAGAAAAATTTGATCAATTTGCAGAAAAAAAAAATGGTAAAACCATAGTGGTTGAAGATCTCAATGGCATTCTCTTAGACCTAGACAGATCTAGTCAAAAGAATAAGAAATAAGGTAAGGCCCTAAATAGAATTTTAGAAATACTATATATGCTAGATCTCTGGCAACTATTGAATAGGAAAGAAATGAGTATACATATTTCTTACTTGTGTGTGGCATTAAAAAAAACTGACCATATATTAGCACATGTGGACGTTATAAAATTTTTTTAATTATGTACAGATCTCTGTCCACTAATCTACAGCTAAAATCTCACCATATTTTCATGATTTCCCTTGATTCTGGCTTAATAAGCATAAATCATAGAATTGTAAAGTTTATAGCTAGGACAGACCTCAGAAATTTTCTTATCTAATCACTTCATTTTACACAGGAAGATACTCTGAACCAGAGACTAGTATGAGCATAAAATAAACACCATTGTCTTTTGACTTGCTCCCCTTCATCTTACCAAATTTAAGACATTTCTTATCTTGGTCAGGAGGTTTTCTCACAATTGATCTTCTTCCAGCCAATACTGAATTATTCTTTTTCATATTAATTATTTTTATTTGCTTCTTGAGAACCTGTTAGGCTTACTGACAGTTAGAGCTGGAAAATATCATGTTAATTATCTAGTCATTAGTCATATTAATTATTATTATCTAGTTCAGGGGTTCTTAACCTTTTCAGGTCATGAACTTCTTAGGTAGTCTGATGAGCTTATGGAACTCTGATAAGAATAATGTTTTTAAATACATAAATTAAAATACACAGAATTACAAAGGAAAACAATTATATTGAAATAAAAGGTGTAATTGTTTTTCTATCCAAGTTCATAGACCCCTTAAATCTACCCATAGACCCCTGGGGTCTCTAGACCTCAGGTTTAAGAACCTCTGTTCTAGCCCAGCTCCTTCCTATTATAGCCCTTTACCATACATATGTCTTTCTTAGAGGATCAGAAAGAGAAGAACGGTTCTTTTGAACTAGAGTCTATCAGGGAACTAACTGCATGCCTGGGTTTTCCCTTTATAACCCCAACTCCATATGAGCAAATATACAAAGTGAACTCAATTATTCAGGTGATACTTAATATATCCAGGTAATGCAAAATTAAGATCCAAATAAATCAAGTACAAACATTTTCAATCTTGGTAAGTGTCAGTTTGCCATGTCATTTACATGCCTAATCTAGGCATGAAATATTTTGCCTCTTTACCCATTTAAGCCTGGCCCTGAATACCTACTCCTACTTCCAACTCTGATCACCCCCCCAGCAAATGCTTTTGCTTATTATTGAGAGCTTATCAATCAGTAGCAGGAATCTCTTCACCAATTATAGCCCACTCTGTTCCCTCACACACTCTCTTCCTTTTTTACCTATTGAAACCTATTATATGCTGTGAGCAGAGTACTCATTCTTGGGCACCTTGATCATCCTCTAACTCTACCTTTACTTGCGTTACTGATTAGGATGTTTTTAACCTTCAGTTTTAGCACAAATGAGTATTTTTGCCTATGAAGAAGGTGTAACTTTTCAACAAATTCCATAGAATGACAATGTAAAGAACAAACACTTAACCAGGTCTTTTATTGATTCTGCCATAAACTAGCTTGATGATCTTGAACAAATCATTTCCCCTTTCTAGGACTCAATTTTGTTTGTTGGATGATAAGGTTGACTTAGATAATCTCTAAGGTCCCTTTCAGCTTTTAACATTCTCTGATTTAGACTATCCAAATGATTTGGACAAATGCACAAAATACTAGCATGTACATTTTCTAGCTGTTTCAGAAAGCATTTTTTTCTTTTTTTTCTTTTCTCTGTCATTAATAAGGTATCTATTTCCAATTGTTTATGTGATTATTGAGATTCCATTAGCTTATTTTAAAGTAGGAACTTGTTTGTTTGTTAAGTGTCTTACTTTCCCAGATACTTATCCCAGCTTATCCCAAGCCAGAAACAGCACCCTGACCTCCTTAAGTAGGACACCAATTAGCCTAGAAAGAGGTGGTCCACTCTATCAGCTTTCTCACACAATTACTACCTTAATAAAACCACAGATCTCTTCTGGTAGAAAGTTATCCAAAGGCAAGTTCCCAGCTGTATCAGGAAAAACAAAACAAATCCCCCAAAAAACCAAGAAATAAAACAACCCCAAACCCAGTTGTCACTTAGTTTTCTACCAAGATAACACTACATCTTTCTTACTTTTGTAATTGTTCTCAGTTGGCAATTAAAAGAAAACAAAACAAAACAAAACAAATAAACCCTTACCCTGCACAGAGATAGCAGTGAGGGAGAAGAGGAACAGGGAAAGCAGCCACATTTTGTCTGGAGCAGTGTGTTTCCAGCTGCTTGGTACAGGTATCTGAGCTGTTCTGCAGGGTTGCCTGTGCTGTGAGCTGCACAGAGGTTAGCTGACTAGTTGACTGGCTGACTGACTAACTGACAGACCTACAGCCCAAAGGGGCAAAAACCAAGTTAGTAAAAAAAAAAAAAAGAACAGAGATTTATCTTTTTTCCAAAGATCTTGGTGAGAGCCAGTGTTGGTGCCTTGAAACTCCACCCACGAAAAAAACTTCCCCTCTTCATTTGTGTGGCTCTAATCCAAAAACACTCAAATTACAATCTCAACACCCATGTCAGTACACAAGATCAGGGTTACATAACCATGAGCTATAATCTTGAAAACTAATCTGGAGTTTCTATCTGTTTCTGGGGCTCACGATGAGAGTAAGTAGGCTCTGGAGGACAAACAGTAGGCTGGGAAAAGTCTAGGGCTGACCCCCAAGCCCAGGTACACTTCCTGTCTGTGTGACTTTGAAGAACTTTCCTAATTTTGAGTCATTTTTCCAATCATTACAAAAGGGCATGAATCTCTGACTCTCAGGGCATGAGTTCTTTACAGAAAGAATCCCTCTGATTTACTAGGAAACACTGAGTTCTGACTACAGTATCAGGAGATAGGAAGAGATCACAATACATGGAAACTTAGCCTTGAGGAAGGTCAAGTTCACTGGGAGAAGATATTCACAATTGGAAAACAAGAAGAAATAATAACATCATAATAGAAATAATCATTCTCATTTCTCTGGCACTTTAAAGTTTATAAACCACTTCCTTCACAACTGTAAGATAGTAAGGCAAGTACTATTTGACTTATTTTTAAATAATATTTTTCCATTTACATATAAGAACAATTTTTAACATTCATTCTTTAAAAATTTTGAGTTCCAAATTCCATACCTACTCTCCTCCCCTCCTCTTTCCCTGGAGACAGCAAGCAATTTGATATAGCTTATACATGTATAATCATGCAAAACATATTTCCATATTGATCATGTTTTGAAAGAAAATACAGATAAAAAGAAAAAAAAAGTGAAACACAGTATGCTTCAATCTATATTCAGATTCTATCAATTACTTCTCTGGAGATGGACAAAATTTTTCTTCATAGGTCTTTCAGAATTGTGTTGAATCATTATATAGCTGAGAATAACTAAATCATTCACAGTTGATCATCATACACTATTGTTGTTACTGTGTACAATATTCTCCTGGTTCTGCTCACTTCACTTGATATCAATTCATAAGTCTGCCAGCTTTTTCTGAAGGCATCCTGCTCATCATTTCTTATGACACAATAGTATGTCGTTACAATCATATATCATAACTAGTTCAACCATTCCCCAATTGATCAGCATTCCCTCAATTCTCAATATTTTACCACTACAAAAAGAGCTGTTATAAATATTTTTATACACATTGGTCCTTTTCCTTTTATCTTTTTTGGGATACAGATCTACTGGTATTGCTGGATCAAGGGGTGTGCATGGTTTTGTAACCCTTTGGGCATAGTTTCAAATTGCTTTCCATAATGGTTGGTTCTGTTCATAATTCCACCAGTGGGGCATTAATTTCCCACTTTTTCTACATCCCCTCTAGCATTTGCAATTTCCTTTTCTGTCATGTTAGCCAATGCGGTGGGTCTGAGATAATACTTCAGAGTTGTTTTAATTTCCATTTCTCTAATCTCTAATTTAGAGCACTTTTTAATATGACTATTGATAGTTTTAATTCCTTCTTCTGAAAAATTGCTTATTCATATTTTTTGACCATTTATCAATTGGGGAATGACTTAAATTCTTATAAATTTGGTTCAGTTCCCTACATAGTGTATTGGAGAAATGATGCCTTTATCACAGAAACATGTTGTAAACCCTGCCCCACCCCCAGTTTCTTGCTTTCCTTCTAATCTTGGCTGCATTGGTTTTGCTAGCGCAAAAACTTTTTTAATATCATATAATCAAAATTATCCATCTTATTTCCTGTGATCCTCTTTATCTCTTGTTTGGTCACAAATTCCTCCCTTACTCAGCGATCTGATAGGTAAAATTTTCTGTGTTCCTCTAATTTTCTTGTGATATTATCCTTTATTTATCCATTAATTGTGTAGCAATTTTGACCTTATATTGGTATATGGTGTGAGATGTTGGTCTATGCCTTCCCAGAAATTTTTATCAAATAGTGAGTTCTTAACCCAAAGTTTGAGTCTTTGGGTTTATCAGACTAGATTACTATGGTCCTTTACTATTGTGAATTGGGTACCTGATCCACCATTCTATTTCTTAGCTGGTACCAGGTTGTCTTGATGATTATCACTTTGTAATATAGTTTGAAATCTGGTACTGCTAGGCTACCTTCCTTCACTTTTTTTCATTGATTGTCTTGATAGTATTGACCTTTTATTGTTCCATATGAATTTTTTAAATTGTTTTTTCTAGCTTTACAAAATAATTTTTGGTAGTTTGATTGTTATGGCACTGAATAAGTAAATTCATATTGCTAGAATTGTCATTTTCATTATATTGGCTTGGCCTGCTCATGAGCAATTAATATTTTTTTCTGGTTTTTCAGATCTGATTTCATTTGTGTGAAATGTGTTTTGTAATTGTGTCATATACTTCCTGGGTTTGTCTTGTGAGATAGACTCCCAAATATTTTATATTGTCTGCAGTTATTTTAAATGAAGTTTCTCTTTCTATCTCTACCTGATGATCTTTGTTGTTAATATATAGAAATACTGATGATTTATGTCAGTTTTATGTCTTGCAACTTTGCTAAAGTTGTTAATTGTTTCAATTAGTTTTTCAGTTGATTCTCTAGAGTTCTCTAAGTACAGCATCATGACATCTGCAAAGAGCGATAGTTTTGTTTTCCTATTAGCTATTTTATATTCTAATTCATTTGATTTCTTTTTTTCTTTTTGTATTGCTATAGCTATCATTTCTGGTACAATATTGAATTAAAAGTGGTAAGAATGGGCATCCTTGGGGGCGGGGCCAAGATGGCTGAGTAAAAACAGTGACTTGCTTGAGCTCTCCCCCAAACCCCTCCAAATACCTATAAAAATGGCTCTAAACAAATTCTAAAGCAGCAGAATCCACAAAAAGACAAAGTGAAACAAATTTCCAGCCCAAGACAACCTGGATGGTTGATTGGAAAGGTATATCATGCCAGACTGGGAGAGGAATGCAATTCATTGTGGGCGCACAGGCTACAGCGAACCTGGAGCAGGCCTCAGAGGACTGAATCACTGGCAGCTGTGGTGGTTTCCAGACTTCTCAACCCATGAACACCAAAGACAGCTTAGAAGGTCAGTGGGAAAAGTCTGTGTCTGTGGTGAGAGAGAGAAGCATGATTGTAGCCCCAGTCCCCGAGGTTGGCCCCAGGGCAGAGGTTGCCTCCTGAGCTTCTGGCCCACAGACTGAGGGGGGGTTGAGTGGCTGATCAGAGGGGGGATTCCAGGAATCTCTCTGCTGGTGTAGGATTCTCTTGCTTTGTCCATGCTTAGACCTAGGTCACAGTTCTGGGTGGCAGTCTTGGGGTGAGGAGGAGCGCTGGTGTGGTGGAGCTTGTAGTGGTGGTGGAGAGGAAATCCTCCTCACAGTTTCAAGACAGAAAAGAGTGCTTGTGGTCATTCATAGAGCAGAGCACAGGACAGGAAAGGAGTAAACACCTCACCCTTGATCATAGCACCTTGAAAGAACTGAAAATTTGCAGGTCCCTAAAAGTATCTCTGAAAACAGCTGCACAAAACCCCTGAAGCTTGGAACAGTACATTCTCCACACTGGAAACAAACCCCTACCTTAACAAAAAGTTTGTAACTCAGGTAATTGGCCGGGATCATGAGCAAGCAGTGCAAAAAGAGTCAGACTATATTATCTTACTTTGGTGACAAAGAAGATCAAAATATACAACTAGGAGAAGACAACAAAGCCAAAGCTCCTACATCCAAAGCCTCCAAGTAAAATATGAATTTGTCCCAGGCCATGGAAGAACTCAAAAAGGATTTTGAGAAGCAAGTAAGAGAAGTAGAGGAAAAACTGAGAATGATGCTAAAGGAGACCCCCTCAAAAAATACTGAAGAAAACAACACCTTAAAAAATAGCCTAACCCAAATGACAAAAGAGGTCCAAAAAGCCAATGAGGAGAAGAATGTCCTAAAAAGCAAAATTGGCCAAACGGAAGAGGAAGTCCAAAAGATTACTGAAGAAAATGCTTCCTTAAAAATTAGAATGGAGCAATTGGAAGCTAGGGACAATTTGAGAAATCAAGGCACTGTAACACTAATCCAAAAGAATGAAAAAATAGAAGAGAATGTGAAATAACTCATTGGGAAAACAACTGACCTGGAAAATAGGTCCAGTAGAGAGAACTTAAAAATTATTGGACAATCTGAAAGTCATGATCAAAAAAAAGAGCCTAGATATCATCTTTCAAGAAATTATCAAGAAAAACTGCCTTGATATTTTAGAACCAGAGGGCAAAATAGAAATGGAAAGAATACACCAATCACCTCCTGAAAGAGATCCCCAAAGGAAAACTCCTAGGAATAATGTAGCCAAATTCCAGAATTCCCAGGTCAAGGAGAAAATATTACAAGCAGCCAGAAAGAAACAATTCAAGTATTGTGGAAATACAATCAGGATAACACAAGATTTAGCAGCTCTACATTAAGGGACTGCAGGGCATGGAAAATAATATTCCAGAAGGCAAAGGAGATAGGATTATAACGAAGAATCACCTACCCAGCAAAACTGAGTATAATCCTTCAGGGGAAAAAAATAGTCATTCAATGAAATAGGGGACTTTTAAGCATTCCTGAGGAAAAGACCAGAGCTGAATAGCAAAGACTTTCAAATACAAGACTCAAGTGAAACATGGAAGAGGTAAACAGGAAAGAGAAATCATAAGAGATTTATTAAGGCTGAACTGTTTACATTCCTGCATGGAAAGATGATATTTGTAACTCATGAGTCCTTTGTCAGAATCAGGGTAGTGGGATGGAAAAAAATTACATGTATGTATAGATAGATAGATAGATGGCACAGGGTGAGTTGAAGATGAAGGGGTGATATCTGGAAAATAAAATTAAGGGGTGAGAGAGGATTATACTGGGAGAAGAAGAAAGGGAGAAGTAGAATGG